ATGGCGTTCTCGTCTCCGGGAATGGTGTTCTCGATCCGTGGGATGGCGTTATTGTCTCCGGGAATGGCGTTCTCGATCCATGGGATGGCATTCTCGTCTCCGGGTATGGCGTTCTCGATCCATGGGATGGTATTCTCGTCTTCGAGAATGGCGTTCCCCATCCCGAGATTGCTGTTTCCGATGCGATAGTATCGGCTATGATTACACCCGCCAGATGAATGAAAAAAAGTGCGGCTATTGTGTATCGTGCCATAGCGCTGAAAGGAAGATGCTTCATTAAAGAAATTCGAGGTTAAGAGAAATGACGTGCTATTAATCTGAGTGGTTCGGTAATCCACAGTTGATGATTCTCTTTAAGTGTATCTAGAAAGGCAACTAATATTCCGTTCTTTTTCCATCATACAATTATTTATATCTTCAAAAATTGCTCAGTTTTGAAATTGGAAGAGATCTCACTGGCAGTGCTAATGGATCAACCTTGATGGTTTCAATGGTTCACCTCATCCTCTGTTTGGAGACGCAATAATGAGATTATTTTATAGATCGCATCAAATTTGGCATTGTTATTGTTATATCTTTAACTAACTTATTTTCGTGTAATCAAGTGGAAGAAATCAAGTGCAAAATCGTGACCTATTCAAAAGAGTGAGTCAGTTCGCTTTACGGTAGGAAAATTTCTCACTGGTACTAATGTCCGTTAGAAAAACTTCAGTTTTTTTGGCAGTTAAGCTGTACGATTAGTAATCCGCGTATTATAAACGGAGGATATACCATGGCAAAAAATGAAATATTACGGCGTCAAAAGACAATCAAAAAAAACTTTTTGGGATGGCAATTTTGCATATTCCAAGTGTTTTCCTATGGCGACTTGGGGTGGTTATGCAGAATGGATGCTGAACAATCCAAAATGCTCTATAGAACATTGTGTGATTGTTCGATATACAACGGTATATGACTGACATCCTTTATATTCTGAGCGCCCTTAAATAGCTAAATTTTGTAGATAATGATTCGACAGTAATTGAAATGTTACATCTCCTTTTTCAATTTTTTTATGAGAGTCTCTGTTTTGTGTTATCAGTGATGTGATATCGAACTGTCCCAACTGAATGATTCATTGTCTGTGTAAATATTGATAATCTGTTCAAAACATTCGATTATTTTCATGCTAATGTAAAATTTCCATAAGATTTGTATTAGCAATTAATTCTCTTCTCATTTCGAATTGTTTTAACATGTTACTTGTACAGTATGATTAATGACTTTGCTGGCAGTTTTTCGAGCGGAGATTCAAAGAGCGGCTCTGATAACTCGAACCGAAATTTACACAGTCTGGAGTACGCCAGAACTGATCTACGAGGCAATCTTGTTACTTTTGACTGAAGCAGGTTATAGGTTCAGGGTTAATTTAAGGCTCGAGGTTGCTTAAGGCTCAGTGCTGAACTGTGAAATTAGTCGAAGGTCTTTTCTCGTCTTCATAATGAGAGGAAAAAAATAGAATTTTGAGGTGAGTTCTTCCAGGTTTATTTTTTTATTCCCTCTTCCTCCCCTCCTCTTTTCATTTCTTTTTTTTTGAGGTGATGCATTCAAACATATTGCGCCATTTCTGTGACCATTCACAAGAATGCCAACACTGTTCGGCTAATCGACACGGGAGGTATTTAATCTTATACTTCGAAATTAAATAATCCAAATTTTTCTGTTAAATTTCATCCACTAAGCATCATTGGCTCCTCGTTGCATGCATATAATCTCGACGTGGACTTGCAAAGAAAAATGATTCTGAGTAATTTTCTGTTCAAATCTTATGGCATGAAAATTTATTTCACCGTACGACATTCACATTCAAATATTCATTTTGGTATCAAATAATTTTTTGCCAGTATGACGAAATCTTATCAGTACCACGATGACACAAACCAATTTGTAAACAGTACGTCAATTTTTTTATGGTCGCGATCATAAGAAGTTTATTTATTGTTAATATTATAATGTCAAGTCGTTAATCTCTCATCACTGACCACTTGTACTTTGTTCGATCACAAACAGTGAAAGCATTTTATTGCAGGCACTAGTTTTTCTATTTACCCTCAATAAACTTTATCAAGCAACGAAAGCTGCTGATATTGCAACAGTGAAGTCTTTGTTTTTGCTTTGATTAATTCCACCAATTGTTCAAGATTTTTTCAGAATTTTTGATTTGATGATTCATACATTCTGCAAGGATACCAAAGCTTTGCATGTATTTATGGTAGCACATATGGTACCATATTCATGGAAAGATTCACAATGGTCGTAAAAATCAAGTGTAATTTGATAATGATCAATTTAATCACGAAACTCTGGGTAAGATGAATGATCCGAGCGATAAAAGACGTTTAGATGTGTTTAATATATGATTTACGTTCGAAAAAGTTCAAATAGTATTACCTTGGTTGTGTACAAATGCGTTTGTTTTTGTGATATTGCTAAATTGGAATAAAATTCCAATTGTGCTTAATTAAAAAAGAATTTAACAGTGATTTGAAAGTAATGCAATCATTGAATAAATGACATTGAACTTACTCAAAAAAAAATTGAAAAATTAAAACGCTTACATCTGACTCATTGCAGTAAAAAAGTAAAACAAGCAAAATTTTCACAATTCATAATTTCACATTAATTTCACACTTTTTACAATTCATATGTAAGGCATAAATGATGCATCTAATACCAAACACGAAACTGATATCATTTTACAAATAAACGACAAATAACTTTGCTGTCGACTCATTATATTCAATTACCACTATTGTAAATAATCAAACAATTTAACGAGTCTTGGGTGCCGTCACTGAACTACCCGAGGAGATCAAAAATAAGCTCATAACTTCGCTTTCAGTTGAGGTAAAAATTTGGAAGGCACATTTATGAAAAACGTCTTAAACATTGCATGATGATCTCGTACCACTGGACTCGACAGGTTATATTTCCTAGAAAATTTGCTGATTATGAGAGATAACAAATTGTATGATTCTCCCGTGACGACACCAATATTTTCACGTTGTATACAAACATAAAAATATGGCAAATTCCATCACAAGTTGGAGAAATCGATTACGGTATCTGATCGATTTTTGGATGGCATGATTACGCTCATGTTTTCTGTATATTACAGCCATTCTCGTTATGTCTTTTGTACCATTTATTTCATCACTCATAAGAGATTGATTCTGATATTTGTTCGACGACAGTCTGAAACGTGCCCCATTCGACGACGGTCTGAAACGATGTATTCAACGAACCGTTCTTACAGTGAATGTCTAGAAATAAACGTTTAGTTATAAACGAACAACAGTTTGGTACATCAAGTCTCCTTTATCCGTTGGAACAACAGTTAGAGTTGAACGACAATACATGATAGGAGATAATTTCTGTCGGATAGAATATGGATGAATTAACAGCGACTTTTATTGTGGGAAATTAAACACTTCGACTGAAGTTAAGCATGCTCGCAGCATTGACATCAAAACGTATCACTGATTCATAACTGTAAAAAAAACATTCTTTTTTTTTATCAGTTGGCTCAATCTCGCTTGCAAGATAAAAGCTGTGAATTCTCATACTGGATTTTTATGTGATCGATTAGAATGCTGTGAGTAAGAAATGAAAGTACCATTGCACAAACCTGCTTGGGTCTTGCTGTAGACAAATACCTGTGAAGTAACAGAGCGTTGTTATATATTTGCTGATATTGGTAGCTGTGAATACACCACCAGACGCGCACTTAGCAGGTCCGAATGAAACAGCACCAATCAAATATGCTCGACCATCATTCGTAATGCCTTGCACACCCGTCCCACTGTCTCCCTCAAAATTCAGTTTGTCAAGGAAGTGGACTGTGAAATCCATTGAAAACAATTATTGTTCGTTCGCCGTAGGCAGTTGATGAATATGTGGCAATCTATGGAATGAAAAAAGATGGCGCCATCAAAATACGCAGTAAATTTTCACAAATTCGTTCAGTTCATCCCTGATATGAAAGATAACAACCGAAGAAATCAGAGGATTTGAAAATATTATACTTTGCAAACTCCTTGATGCATTCCTTTCCATGAACCGATTCGCGCGGTACGAGGTTCCATATTCAGTGCAGTGCTGAATCGCGATCTAGACGCGCGGATTAAGTGTACTTCAGCGTATTCGAGCGTTTTTGCGGGTTCAGAATCTGCGAGAATTTATCATAATACCAATGAAGGTGTGCAGAAGATCAAATGTGCGGAGTAGAATGGGTTTAATAGCAAAATGATTTGGGTGACTGAAATAATGGGAAGCAGAAAAGTACGAGACCCAAATGAAAATTTCTTGGTTGTTATGCTGAAAATTCTGGGAATGTTTGTAACGATAACGAAGAAGGCAATTGATATCGTTTCGTAGAGAAACTGTAAGTGAAGAAAACGGAGGAAAAGAAGATGTTACTGATAGAAATATGAGTTTATCGAATGAGTTGCAATCCACAGGGTACAAGAGTGTTGGAAAAGTATTGAAGTGCAGAATGTAATATGCGGAAGAATACTGAAGAAAAAATGAAATTGAAATGTTGAATTTGATAAAATTTTCGTCATTTCAGTTGGTTAAGGACGGTAATTCTTTTAAAAATGAATTCAGTGCTACGGATGACAATCTCAAAGCTATGAAATACAATCCAGAAATTATATTGTTCAAAAATTCGTTTTCTCTATGACGGTCGCTAGCAACACAGCATCCAAAATTATGCAAATATTGTCACTTTTTCAATTTTGAATTAATAAAGTTGACACTGTAAGTTTTTGTATTATAGGATTGTGTAACGCTTGAGCCATTCGAAAAGAACATGTCCCTATCGTATGACTGCATCCTTTTCAAAAAATGCATTGATGAAACTTTGATGACTGCAACTTGTTCTATAGCCATCGCTATAAGTGTTGTTCTCAAATACAATTCAGCACACTTTTCTTTTAGTTAGCGCAACAATCACATCGACGTATGCAACCTCAATATCGTGCGTTCACGTTCTTATGTGTTCAGAAAATTTCTCTGTTGGCAAATGTTTTGCGATGCTCGAACTGCACGACGCACACTTCAATTAAGCGCTCATCCGAGGATCAAATGAAGGATTGCAAATATATGCATACATTCGTTTTTTCCGAAACCGTAAACAAGAAAATCGCTCAGATGTGTTGGTATCGATATGCGAGATGGGACCAAACAAATCGGCCAAGTGTTTGCAGTGAACTGAAAATTCAAGTTGGTTACTGACTACTTCGTTCCTCACTGATAAGCGTGGCATTAATGTCTTGTTGCATTCTTAAATTTACAAAAATCATTACTGACTGCTACTGAAGAAATGAATCAGAATGCCCAAACAAGTGTTCAATGTTTAAATTTTTTTAAAATTTTTTTTAGGTGCTATGTTGAAGCTAGTGATAACAACGTTTTGTTGGATTGATAATAAGTGCACCTGGCGCCGAAGAAATATGTTTAGAAATGACTCACCTTTATATCGTCGTCTACTTCTATGATGGCTATATCACTTCCACCAATGCAATTGCTTGTAACAAAACTATAAAACAAATTGTTACATGACAATTTTGTAAATATCAAAAAAAAGAACCAATATATATCAAAAACCAATACACAGGCTCATAAAACAGTTGCATTTATCGTTGACTGTGCACTCATATTAAGCTGATAACAATATTTGAAATTGTAAATATTCTGTAAGGGCAACGTTCTGCGACTGAATAACTTTTTACTTTTCGTCCACAACGACACTGCGGATTTTGGCAATTTTCATTTCCGAACCGAAGCAATGCGTTTGAAGAGACGTGCACTCACTACCATACGTAACCAATAAGCGAGAAAGAATCGAAGCGGGATAAGTGGAAATATTGCTGAAATCCGAATAGAACCGTGTCAGTTTATCATTCAAATTCCACTACACTTCAATATGTAAATTTGACAATTTCCTCTTTTGACAATCCCGAGCGGAGCCAAAAGGATCCGATCGAATGTTACAACGTCATCAAATAACAGACTTATTCATGTGGGCATAACTATCTCATTACCTGATGACATTACCAAAAGAACTTTTGAAAAAAGTTAACTCACCCGCATGGTAATCTACCATTTCCAATCTCATAAAAACAATGAGCTGCCGTAATAAGGTGACGATTTGAAATTATCGTTGCGCCACAAAATGTTTTAATGCCTTCAATAGTGATTCTTGCAGCCCATGGAAACTGTCTTATAGATGTTCGCTTTCCTTTCGCTATCACAAAGTTGGCTTTTGTTTCATTTCGGAGGTCTGGAGAATAATCGATTCTCATCGAAACCATCATTATTACAGTGATTGTGAATGTTACTAGCATTGTTGCTCCTATCAGATTTACACTCACTGCTCTATCACGATGATACAAATAACAATTCTAAACTAGCATCGGCCACAGAACAATTCTTCGGAATGAAAACTTTGAAAGTCTATTCACAGACCTCGCCCATCAATGGCTCTATATCCACAAAGTGTTTGAAGAAGTCTATTATCATTATGTGTTAACCGTTTTAATGTTACACCTGAAAGTTAAAGAATTCACTGATCTCTGATCAATTGTACATGCTGCCTATTTCGAGAGAGATTCTCTTATTCATCTTTGTCGTATCATCTCAAAATTTACCTCAACTATCTAATGTCACCCGATTTGCGAGTGATTTATGGGCGAATCGAGCTGCAGTTGATAGTTTCTTGGAACTGCATCAACTTTATGAAGGTAGCTATTGCATGAGGGATCGATTTCAAATTTATCACGTACGCATGCTAATATATGAGACCTGAATGTTGCTGGCAGGTCATGGTTTTCTGTGGTAGAACACAGCCTGATGTAAATGCGCTCGAACAAAAACACTTCATTTGAAGGTCACTCACTCACGAATCAACCAATGATCAATGATTTTTCAGCAGCGTCTTTTGGACTCATTCCATTCTTATATCCGAAAATTTCCTATGAATGGCATTAACCGGGAATATGACACGATTGAGCCGTAGCGTGAAATTCAACAAAAGCACAGCTATCCTCACCGCAGTTTCATGCATAATAAAAGATTAGTATAAGAATAATAATGCATTTCATATTTATTCAAAAAAAAACCTTACATGGCAATTCACCAGTAAATATCATCAGTGGAGGTCTCCTTCAAGGGTAAATGGACGATGTCAGAAGGAATTAAGAAGATTGGTAAGGTAATCTTGATTGATTGACGGTGCATTCACAACTGCTCATTCAAAAGTGATCTTTTCAACACCGATGGAATCATTACAGCAAACTTCATGGTCATTTGTTCAATTTCCTGATTTGCTTTTGATTTGTCGCTGGTAAGAAAAAGATTGGCTAATCTGATCGAGCCCTATATCAAACCAAAGCTCCTTATGCTGATCACGAATTAGTTTTCCCAACAAATAAAGGCACAAAGCGCAACTATGAGAGCCACTGCTACGTACCATTCTATTCAAGAACTACTACATAAGGTCTCAACTAATATTACTTCAATGATTTTAAGAGATATAACTAATATCACCTTCAACGGTAATCTCATTTGGTTTCATAGAATTGACGAAAGACGAAACCGCGAGAAAGCCGATCACCAAGCGACACCTCACCATCTCTCACAATCAATTGACCAGCAAAGATCAATTTAAGTTCGTTAACTTCAACGTTGGAATAATATGCAAATTCAATTTTATGACCTGAAATGTTTTTAGGATTGCTGAAAGCCGCATGAAAATTTTCATATGCAATACCTTATAAATCATGCAGATTTTGCGGATTCTGTCAAATTTGTGGGGTGCTCATTATCGAAGCAATCCCTATATCTTTTCCTCTTATCGCTCTTGATCCTTGCTGCAAACTGATGCTAGTCTTAAATGACTAAATCTGCAACAATGACGAAATCTCTAGATTAATTTTTATGCATATTTGCTATCGCATTCAAAATGTCGCTGACTTCGAATGAATTAAACCAGTTTTGAGTATTATCATTCGAATCTATTAATCAGGGTAATAATAATATCACTGATCATAAAAATTATATTAGAAATATTCAAACTGAAATTTGATAACGTTGAATATTCACAATTTCTTAAGGAAAATTTGCTTAAGAAATAGCAATAAAAGGAGATGAGTTCGACAAAAATGATTGTTGGTGTTCGAGAGTGAGCGGTGGGAGATTGCTTTCGATAGTATGGCTGTTTTTGGCGATGAACAGCGGATGATGATGTACGGTAATAATATGATAAGTAGTGGGGCTGCAGGTGCAGCTTTCCGAAACGCATATGGAATGAACGAGTGGAATGGATGGAATCAGAATATGCCGATGAATCAGAACAACGCATTGTACGATTTTCAACAACAAAACAACATGCAAATGCAATATCCGAATCAATACCCCAATGTCAATCCCTGGGCTAATCAACAATTACAACAGCAACAGTGCCAGCAACAGCAAAACCTATGGTACAATAATTATCAGAATCCAACGGCTCAGTGGGGCAGTGCGCTGAACAGCAATGCCGCATGGAACACGAATCAACAGAGCCAATGGATGGCACCAGCACAATCCTACGCAACAAACCTCGCTGATCCAAATGCTTTCAATCGTGTTATTCCATCGGCCGTCTCATCGACTGCCACTGCTATACCCACCTCGTCACGTTCGAATTTAGTCCTTGGCAACGGAACTTCAGGCAATCTATGGGTAATGTTACTAAATAGTTTATGCTTATTATATACAAATGTTTCCATTCATTATACGTCTGGAATGTATTCATGAATTATTCGGCGCTCTGATGACGCGAGTTGTGAGCTAGAACGATATGAGGTGTAACTGTGTTCCATAAGGCATCATCACTTTGACGGTTATAATCAGCAATTAACTCATTGATCGACTATCTTTGCGTTATTTATTGAAGCGATTAGCGAAACTAAATTTAGAGTCGCAGTGTTTTCAATTCTTCTACTGTTATACTTCCCATTATTCCTTATTGAGTGGCTATTCATATGTATTGGTTATATGTTATAATGTTATCATTGCTTATATCTGATTCACTGGTTATTGGTTTTACAGTATACAGCTGATGACATTGCAAATTCTAGGAGCACGCCCATTGGCCGTCTTCAACTTATATACTCGATGCACCGCACTATGCTGGAATCGGTCGATGAAAATGTTGCTTGCGGTGTGTCTAAAGCGGTAAATGGAACGAATAGAGCCGCATTGCAATGATTTGACTGTCGTTTGTATCTTGAATAAAATATCGGTCTATCGAATCGATTAAATGTAAATGCTATTTTTACCTCGGCTGAAATAAATTGTTCACTGAATCGGTAAATCGGTAAATCGGTTGAACTAGATACACTGTTTAATGGGATGAGTTGTTCGGGTCATTCACATTAATCAACTGAAAACGAATTCATTAATGCAAATCTGTTGCCAGTTGCTTATCGCACAGAGGTCGTGATTCGAGAATTTGATGCTTCAGAAAAATTTAGCTTTTTTAATATTTGGGACTGATTCCCAGTTCCCGAGTGTCGATTATTGCAGTTCTCATGTTGTTCGCTTTGTCCGGTGATCTCTGATAGGTAAGAAGAACAAATTACTCAACAAAAATGTGAATGTCACCTCCATGGATAAGTTTTATTTTACCTATGTCAAGGAAATGATGAAGTTCATGCTTGATGTTTGCATACTAACTTTCCATGAATTCTAACTGAAATCGCTCTGCCAGTACAAAAATATACAATTATAAATTGATAAAATGCAAGAGTGGCTACGCATTTGGAAACAAGATGGAAACATTCTGAGGCATTAGAATCAGGCAACGTATTCGCTTAGAGAACGGGTGTGAGCGCATTACGTGTACAGTGGCAACCGCGACGGTTGCCATCGTTTCAAACTCTGCCTTCTCCTCAGAACTTGATATTTTAAACTTTTATAAAAGTGGGCTCATTTCATGAAGATGGGAGTTCCTATTCGTTTTCTGCCGATAAAACAATTCCAGTGTAAAGTTTCTTGTCCCTGACTGACTAGTCACATTATTGATTTACAAATGTAAGCTTGCAACGGCAGAAAACTTTCGGTT